CTCTTCCAGTTGAAGAGAGTGCTTTATAAGACTTCACATAATCAACATTGAGTCAGCTGTACTAAGTTGCAAAGAAACATTGATATATTTGTTCATCATCATTATCTCTCTCAGCTGCCTCCACAGATTGTGTTTAAGAAACTCTTTCTTGATCATACAGTATTCAAATATCACAAGAGGTGTGTGCGTTTTAAAAGTTTCTCAACTCATGGATTTGCTTTTTCCAATTCACCACCAGATAATTGTCGTTAACTTGATGTCATGATGACATATTTTCATCACAGTAACCATTAGAGACGTGCAGCCTTTAACACCTCTCCGTTGTTCCACATTGTGCTGGGCTGCAGGACTTTATCACTGATGGTAGAGAGAGGGGTGAGGCTCTCCGGAGGGTCGGGGTCAGGCAGGTGCCAGTGGATGAAGATCAAGTACATGAATGTCCCTAAAACACCTCCTATAAGTGGGGCCACCAGGGGCACCCAGAACCAGTAGTTGTAACACCTGGAGAGCAGACAGAAAGGATTCAGATGAGAGTTTGTTATTTAAAGTGGAATTATTCAATGTTCTTATAATGACACTGAATCTGTTATGTGAAAGGGATTGGTTAATGAGCTAAAAGAGTCTTTTCCTAAAACAGAAGCAGCTTTTTTCCATAAACAAGCTCAGCTCTGCTCGGCTCCAAACAAAGTTACAGAAAGAATTACCGGCTTATTGTTGAATAGTGTCAATTATTAGAAAGCAGCTATTTTTCAATTAGTGATGGTTTGCTAAGATACCACAGATTTTTTTACACAAACCAGTCAGGTTGCCACAATATCAACTCTGATTTTATCATATCAGCTGAATGTGTATCCTTGCAATCATTTCTTAACACTTTATTCATAAGGAAAGACATTTTAAATGTTTTGATTTTTAATTAAAACATTTGTTTTTAATTATTACTGTTATCTTTTTATTATTTATTCATTTAAAATACTTACTTTATATACTTCCCGCAAATGTTAGTGTTCATTTCTATTATATTTGTATGTTATTGTATCTTTTAAACATTTTTCACTCGTGTAAATGCATGACACTGCTGCTGGAACAAATATATGTTCCCAATTTTGGGATACATAAAGTATCTATCTATCTAACTAACTATGCTGGACTTTTCTGGTATTATATGCCCCCTATTGGATAACATCAATGCATGCAGCTTTCATATAGACAAGATCAAGCAAAGGGTTTATTGAACAGCTGTGGAGCCACTATGTTTGTGTTTTCAAACAAACACCAGTCAGATGTTTTGTAATGAGCTGACACCTAATTTTCTATTGATAGTGCAGAAAACTATTGATAACCTCTGACATATGGGATTATAGTAAGAAAGACAAGGACAAAGACCTCTTAAAATGTCCTTCAAACAGTTTGAATGAATCGTGTAGCTTCATCTGTAAGGCCATAAAATTATTGATAAGAAATAGGAATTCCAGAGTCATCAGTTTGGAAAGTTGTATGTGTACAGCTGTAAAGAGATAGAGAGATAGAGGAGCTGTATACTTTTACTTACGTGAAGACCTCAGTGCCCCAGCCTGCAGTCAGTGTAAAGAGGCGTGGCCCCAGATCCCGAGCTGGATTTATTGCACCACCACAGTTGGCTGACATTGACATGGAGATCCCCAGGACGATCGCTGCCACTATCGCAGGAATCAGTTCCGGGGGGGCCGGGGTGTTTCTCTTCTCACCCAAACTCAGGATGCACAACATCAGCATGCCAGTGCCAACTACCTAATGAAAAGTGTAAAAACTGTAATGCACAGTTCAATAAAGGAACAGCTTTTAAAATAATGAACAAGGTCTACACAAATTCTCCCACTGACCTGGTCAAGGAAACTGCTGCCCAAAGAGATGTACTCTGAGGGGTATGTGGCAAATATTGATGCTGTTTCATTTGGGCCATAGACAGTCAATACTCCTCCACTAAACTCCATTATAGCATCTGAAACAGACAGAGAGTTTAATGTTAAAAACTGATTGTGCACAGAGCTTCTCCATTTGTTTGATTTATCTGGTCATGACTTAAGATCTTTATCTATCAGCCCATATACATAGCAATGATAAAGTATTTTGAAGTGCCAGAAAGACGAACCATAGTAGACCAGGTAGACGAGTCCTGATGCCACATAAGCCCCCAACAGCTGGGAGAGGAAGTAGGGCACCAGCCTTCCCCAGGGCACCTGGCCCAACACACAGAAGCTCAGAGACACTGCCGGGTTCAGGTGAGCTCCTGCAGAGAAACATAGGAGATGGATGGGATCAGACAAAGAAATGTGAAGGCAATTGAATAGTAGATTACTTGTAGTCACAAAGTGTGTCAACTGGTAGACATAAGTCAAAGCAAAGACCTTGAGACGCTGGACAAGGCCTCTTTTATATTACAGTGATAAATACAGCCTGCTCAGATCAGTGGATCACTGCTGAAATGGAATATGTTTTAGATTTGTTTTTGTGGTTTTGAAATACTGTTCCCATTCTGAGACAAATCAAGAAAACAAATGCTCTGACAATCTATCCAATCACTTCATGCTAACCCTTACCCTACCTGCTGTGCACAGTCTGCCTGTGCATTCATTCATAACTGTGAGTACTAACAATGGCCATGTTCATTCTTTACATTATTATGAATTTTCTAAGGTTTATAATGATCACTTTAGTAGTTTGGAGGGTGGCTTGAAGGGATGCGCTGTCTGTGTTTATAACTTTAGGGACTTTTGGAGACTTTTGCAAGCCATGTTAAATCTCCAGTTACTCTTTGTGGATTTCCTCAATTTACCTATCCCTAATCTTTTGGAAGTGCAAGGCAGAAAACTAAACACTGCTGCTATAGTTGACTGTGTATACATCTTGCAAATGTATATTTAGTTAGAAGATCTCATTATTTGAAAAGTATTCATTTGATTTACCTGTGATGCCCTTGGTGAGGTACATAGCCGACATCACGCCCACAGAGAAGGCCATGTTGACTGACAGGAACTGGCCTTTAGTTTCTCTGCTCGTCTTCACCTGCGCCGCAGCAGAGCAGCCGAAGAGCTTACCAGAAGATGAAGAAAAAAATCCAAAAATTAATGTTCTGTCAAAAGATATATTTTACACTTTCAAGAAACAAGAAACAATCCCTGAATGATTAAATAAAAAAACTGTAGGTAATTATCAATAGGCCAAACAAAGGTACTGCAGTTATCACAGAAACATTTGTTGTTGTTAAAATGTGGTTACTTTTATTGTATCATAAACTTCTTATCTCATAGATATTACAACAAAGAATCTGACTCGGAGAACAGAAGAAGAAACACACACATGAATTAATGTATTCATAAAACACTGATTAAACTTTATGGCCTATCACCAATTTACATTATTGATTTATACATCTATGACAGGTTGAGGTCACATTAAAGCATGTTATGGTATTGTAAAATAATAAAAGTTCAGTAGCAGCTCATGAAATATATATATGTTGTGCAATTAAGCTCAATTCATAATTTGTTTTATACATCAGAGAATATAAAATACCATAAACTGACAAAAGGATGCTGCAAATGTGCCATTAGTCATTAAAATTAAGTTTTATCAATCGTATTTTTGTTGTTGTCCTATTGCATTGTAAAGGAAAGAGAAGCTGAATAATGAGAAGGAAACATAATTTTTTGAGTTTTTATATATTTATTCATAAATTCATCTCTGTTTTTGTTTTCGTGTGCTTTTATTTAATATTTTAAAGGGGTGAGGTGGACGTAAACAATTAGACCATAAAAAAGTTCCAAAAGCTGATAGACTCACCAGCAAAACAAATGTTCCTAAGAACTCAGCCATGCACTCTCGTATCAGAGGATTCCTCACTCTCAGAACTCGGCGGTTCAACATTGTTCGAGTTAAATCCTTCTTTTCATCTCACACTGAACTCTGTCTCTGCTGTCACACACACCAGCTGTTGGGCTGCCTCTCTGTCCGGAAGCTAAAGTCAGTCCTGATGCTAAAAAAAACGAAGTTATTTCTGTCACAACTTCCACCTGAGCATCTGAAGACCTGCACTCTGTGTCCCACGTCCTCTCTGCCTTCTCTTCTTCCACAGCTGGTCAAACACTGTTTCTCATTTATTGGGCAGGCACCCTTCAGGATTGGCTGGAGCACAGAGAGTAATGCCTCAACTGTTGGAGCTCTCTTATATGAACAGGGGCCATAAACGGTCAGATTATGTGATTATAGCCATGACAAGCAATAAGCCGCAACATGCATAAAGCCAAACCTATCTACCTCCCTCAAAAAAACAGTTACTGATCTTAATGATAAATAGGCATCCATCCCTAGTTTCTTCATACATTCATAAGGTTTATGTGAAAGACAGATGCAGGTAACACCAACACACTAAAAATAAATAGGATACCACTCACCAGGCCACCGTCACAACCAGAGGTTTACAGTATGACACCCCTCGCCATGATATGCAGTGTACATGCAATACTTTGTACTCTTTACTTTATGTCTTGCTTTAGGTAGGTTCCTGGAATTGATGATCTCTGTGGAATTTAAGTCCAAAAACAATATATAAATGTACAAATAATACTATTGCTAATATTAGAATTACTGTGGTGAAGCCGTCTTTGGTGAAAGTTTGATAAGGCAATTGATTGAGAAGTCATTAAATAGCAAGATGTCACCGTAACCCTGCTGTACTGAACCCTGGACCCCTAGTGGATTATGTAAACCATCAAATTCCCTGCAGTAGTAAAGAAACGTGTTATTGCTGATCATTTTCAAAGAGCCACACGATGCGGCAGGAAATTATTTGTTGACATTTGATAAGATAAAAATAGTGTTTGATGAAGTTGTTCCTATTTACTTGTAAGAAAGCTTTATTTTATGAATTTCTTTACTGCTATTTAATTTACAAACAGACCAGTAGACTATATTTTTTATTTGGTGATTTGAGTAAAGTAAATGATCAATATCTCTCCACAACAAAAACCTTGACATGATGCATCGGGGACATATCTTATCACATCTTCTTTTCGGTATTACTAAATGATTGTGGTATGTGAACTGTATAGGGACAGACACCTTTAACCCACAGAACTTCATTGATAAGATGATATCGTCGTAACACTCTCTCCCTCTGCAGGACATACAAATACAATGCATTTCTTTAAATTAGGATTTATTAAAAAGCAATATAAACTTTAAATGCAGTTAGGTTTTATTCACAATATAAAACAATATGTATTTTCATTTAAAGTTGCCACATTTCTAGCTTAAAGATAACCAAAGTAACTTTTACAAAGGTTGGTTGACTTAATAAATGTACGAGCCATCAGTGCACTTCAATTATATACAGACATATCCCAAGCCTTGAGGTAGATGTAGATAGAGTGAGAAAAATACACACTTTTGACCTGGTCTTCAAGATTATATTTCCTATAGGGATTTGTATTAATTACTACAAATTACTGAATTGTTTTAATGGCCTCAGGAATACAAAAGGTATAGCCACTAATGGATGGGTTTCGAGCTGTCATCAGTCACTGAGCTCTACTGTGCACAAAGCACCGGAACAGTCCTCATGTTTCCAGATTTTCAAGAGGGCGTCGAAGCACCACGTCCACAGGCCCAGACGGCAGTTTTCTGATCAAAGTCCAAGCCTCCAGGCGTCTCATCCCCACCACGCTCACACCTTCAATCTTATCGACCTCATCACCAGGACACATCTTGTCAACAGGACCTCCTGAAGGGTAAAAGGGTGGCTTTAATCACATGTTTGTTTACTAAGATCTTAAAGGACAGGCAAGGGGAAAGGCAATTGCTGCAAGAGTAGTATACAGTAGTATAATATAGTTTTAATGGAGAACAGTTATTATGAAAGGGTTGCTTAGAATATATTTTATTAAGCTTGTACTGCATAAGCAAAACAGGTGTCTTTCTCTTTTCGGCCTATTTACAAGAATATCTGGATAACAAGTCAAATAAAAATAATCGTCACTTTGTTTCATGTTTTTTTTTTATTGATTTCTTAACTAATGTTATTTTTCAATAAAGTAACGTTGAGTACTTAATAAATCCAACGCTTGACACCATTTATTTAAGAAGATAAAGAGAAATCTTGTCCACATGTTGTCGTTCTGGGGCTTTTTCCTGGTTTGGGTTCTGATTATAACAAAACCTTACACGGTAACAAACATAATCTTGACATTTTTATGCTTTTCTGTGTAAACATGACTTTGTTTACCATGTTAATTGAAATGAGGTCCAAAGACGTGGTTTCTGAGTTTGGAGTGAAAGAGCTAAGTTGGCCTGCAGGGAGCACTGACCTAAACCCAACCTAACAACTTATGTTCACCTCTTTGTGGGGTGGATAGAGTTTAAATGATGGTTAAATCTCTGTATTTCTTCTTTGGAAGATAAATAATACTACAGTCCTCACCCTGGAAGATCTTCTGTACAGTGAGGGGTCTGTTTCCCAGGTTGGAGTCCGCACCTCCCTCCAGGCTGAAGCCCAGATCCCTGCTGTTCTTCTCCAGTCGCACACACAAAAGCTGACCTGCAAGTAGCAAAAGCAGAAGAACAGTCAACATTTGTTTCTAAAAACGTGTAGATACAGGACTATGATCTTTACAAAGTGTTGTTAAAGTACGCCTTCTCACCCGTGTCAGTTGACGGAGTCAGTGTTGGTCCCTGATTTTTTGTCGGGTTTCCTTTCTTTTGGACACTGCTAACCTCTCCCCTCCTCAGGACCACCACCCCCATCTCCCGAGCCTTTGCCCTCCTCAGGACCCTCAAGGCCTCCCAGTGGGCATAGCCGCTCAGTGCTGTGCCGTTGATTGACAGAACCTGGTCCCCTTCCCTTATGGAGCCTTCCTGGGCTGACACGCCCGAGTGGAACACTTTGTGGACCTGAGAACACATTGTGGTACAAATTAGGAGACTGAGGACAATGAGTTTAAATATTTTTCAGGAGAAGGTAGCAAGGGGTATTTTCTCACAGTGACAGGCTTGTTCTGGTCCACGCCTCCCGCCAGACTGAAGCCTAGTCCCACTCCCATGTCCTTATGGAGAACCACTACCTGCACATCATCATAGTCCTGCAAAAAGGGAAGGCAGAGAGAACAACAACAATGTTACAATAGGCCTGATTATTTGGCACTTGTATAAACTCCCTAGTTCATGGTAATGTTTCTTGTCTCAGAACCACAGAAAGTGACTGTTGCTAATGTTTGTACCTGTAGGGTGCTGTCCCCCACGCTCCTGACATCCTCCAGCAGCCTGTCGAGCTCCTCACTGGGCATCACGGACACACAGGAGAGCGCCGACATGTCTGAGCTCAGGGAGGCAGTCCGACGGCTTGAAGTTTGCCACTCATCGCAGTCATTCTCCGACTCATAGTCCACTCCAGCAAAGTTACACAGGTCTGAAAGACTAAAGGCAAGAAAGAAAAGGAGTTATAGGTGTGAGGTACTGACAAATTGTTGGAAGAAATATAATACAAACATTACCCACCTGACACAGAAGCTCTTGTGATCTGACTGGCTCATGCTACTAGTGACGGTCACTGAAGACTCTCCAGAGTCGGAGTCATAGTTTGAATCATCGTCCCTCTCTGTACTTTCATCATCATCTTCATAACCATCTTCATCGTCATTCCAGTCCCTCAACTTTGGGCTCAAGCCAGCCACCCAAGCCTCAAGGTCCAGCAACTGTTTCTTCCCATTTGGGTGGGCTTTGTTCTCCGGAGAGATGAGACCGGGGAGGTCGCTGTGGGACGAACTGGCCAGGGGATGAGGGAAAAGGCGGGAATGTTGTTCAGGAATTTTGGCTGACACAGCGAGGACAGAAGTGCTTTCCTTTTCCCTGCCTATAAAGGAATTGATGTTTTCCGGTTGAGTGGTAGGTGAATGAAGAGGTGAGTTATTTGGAGAGTTTGTTGGAGTCTCGTCGTCATCGCTAACTGGTGAAGTAACCAGAGAGTTTGCTTTCTGCACACCAGCAGAAGTGTTGATGGATTTGGACAGTAGCAAAGATGGGATCTGACTAGAGTCTTCAGGGCTTGAGATTTTTTGGAAATCTGTCTCATCTATGAAAAAGTTTCTACCATATCCTCCATTTAGCGGGATTTCCAATCGACTCTTGAGTCTAGAATATTTCTCGAAATCATCAGCAAAATGATTATCTGTTCCCTTTTCCTGTGTTTCATTGGAATCAGTACCTTCTCTCTCTTTCCTCCCTAGTCTTAGTCCAACCTCATCCTCTGATAAAGACCTGCTTGACCCGGGCTTCTTTCCTGCTCCTCCCACTTTCTCCTCAGCCTCATCACCTGCCTCCCTTCCCTCTTTCAATTCCTCCCTCTTGTATCTCAACCCACCTATCGCTTTTGCTGATCCACTCTTTTTTACTCCATCAAAATCACTGCTGAGTTGTGTTGGCACAGAAAAGGCTCGTCTTGGCATCACGACCTGTGCTGAAACTAAATCGTGGCCTCTCTGTGTGAGGGCCTCAAACTGATTGATCTTATTTCTCACACTGGCTGCAGAGGCAGTCAACCTTTCTGGGAATCTCTTCTTCTCAACTGTTTTTATTGTGATATCCTGTGACACAAACACATCTTCATCAATGCTGCAGCTCTTCAATAGTGTCCAGTCTTTTGCTGCATTATCTGACTTGTTTTCCTGCTCTTCTATCAAAGAAAATGAACTCTCCTCTTCTGGGAAAGTGTTTGGATATGGTGCAGTAATTCCTGCTGCAGCCCTCGCAGCTCTTACCTGAGCTGCTGCAGAGTACCTGCTTCCCGCTCTATCCAGAGACATTGTGCCCATTTCCTCTAACCCTCTACCCCATTTAGCTCCCCCCTCCTCTGAAAACCTGTTCTGGATTGGTCCTTGCCCTTGTACCCCTGACAGTCTCTCCCTGGTCCTGCTTGTTCCTGTATTAATTGAATTCTCAGAACCTTTAGTATCATTTTGTGTCCAGGTGAATGATTTCTTGCTTGGCACAATGCTGCTATTCTCTCCGGGTGGCATACGCCTGGGGAAGGTTCCCCCTGATGTCCTCTCATATGACCTCTGCTGTGGCAAAACAAGGGAGTCTGTAGTTGTTTCTCTGTGATGGGATGTCAAAGGAGTAGAGAAGTCACTTGAATCCTCCATTTGATCAAAATTAGCTGACCCATAGAGTTTTTCTATCCGCTCCATTATACTCTGACCTCCTTTGGGTCCGAATGAAGAAGCTGTCCCTCTGGCACCGGTGCTAGATCCAGAAAGGGACCTAATCCTAACGGGGAGAGAATTACCCCGACTGACCCTGTCCAAAGTCTCACTCATGAGACTCGCTGGCCTCCTCTCTTGATCACTACTTGTATCTGCAGAGATATAGGCGTGAATTGAAGATATCACCCTGTCTCCCACGCATTCAACTACAGTCCTTATTTCATTCGAGCCTTGTTTGGGTGACAACACAGATATGTCAGCCTTTCTTCCCCGATCAGGGCTCGTGTCCCCCTCTCTCCAATCCAAACTCTTACTTCTACTTTGCATGTTTTGTCTCCTCAAGTCAGTCCTGCCCCGGCTTTCAGAGGCAGGGTTACAGTTTATACCTCTGTCGGTGCCAAACTCTGTGATAGTTTGATCTGATGTGCCATTCTGGTTCAGCTTAATAGTCCTTTTATGGTCTGATGGTTCCTGCTCCTCGCCCTGCCCTCTGACAGTGCTGCGACTCCCAGTCCTGGCTTGATAAGCAGTGACTGTGCCATCCTCCTCCTGGTTTGTGCCATTTGTGCCAGAGAGAGTCCAATCTCTCTCGCCGACTTCCTCAGAACTCTCCTTCTCCTGTTCTTGAAAACTCCTTGTTTTCCTGACACCTGGCCTGCGAGTGAGACGGTAAGACGGAGAGCTGGCTGAGCGGACAGTGAAGCATGCTCCTGTCTGCTGCTTGTCATAGTCACTCACTTGTGTAGGCAGCATGGACAAGTCCATTGTCTGAGAGTAAACAAAGTTAATAACCTGCTGTCAAGTGCCAAATCCCAAAAAGAGAGTGGAAGAGTGAACTTGATATTCAAGCAAATCCGAGAAACTGTCTGATGATTGTCTGTTTTGTGGTTGAGAAGAGAGCTCCACTGGGCTTCTCTCATTGATCTCTTGTCGTTCTGTCCCTTGGATTCTTTGGCTCCCACAACATGACTTCAGAGAACAGCTCCCATTGCCTGCAAAGCATAACAAAGGTACACATTTCTATGCTGAGATTGCATTGGGATGAAATGTTGTGATATGTAGATTGTGGCTCGTTGAAATGGCCAAACAGAAGCACAAAGTGTTTGATGATAGGGAACACAACACGTAACAGAGAAGAATAAAGAGGACAGTGAATGCAGAAGATATGAAAATGTTAAGAACAACAAATAGGAACAAAAGAAAGAGCATGACGGCCAGAGAACTAAATTATTGTAAACTAACGCCTGTAAGTTATGTGATTTGGCAACACGTCTCTTCCCTGCTGACATACCCCTCACACTGTCTCAATGAGCCCATTCACAGACCAGTGGGACTCTGACTCACATAATGCACTCTGTTGTACACACACATATCATAACGGCTGTTTACACAAGCAACATACTCATGACTACCTGTCAGCGTCAGCAAAACCTGAATTAAAAACTGGAATAACTCACCAAACTGCAATCCTCCCAGTAAAAACAATGTATTAAAATAAAACAATCAGTCTCTGTGCAGCGCGTATCGGCCTCAGAGCCACAGGAGGACAACGACTGACTGAAACTTTGTAACAGTGTTCAGGGGAAACGATCAGATAAGATGGACAAAGATGAGGACAAAGTCACTTTGATTTACATTCAACCTGCTTGGGGATATATTGTATTACTGATGGACAATTGCACTTGTTCAAATTACAGGCATTGTTTGATAACCACCGAAACCATCTTTGATCATTAATCAAGGCAGAATTAAGAGCGATCTATCTTGACGTTGAACACAAGTAGTGTAAGCTGTTGATTTACTGTACAAATACAACAGGACTAGCAAGCAGATAAGCAATGGCTGTATCATTTTATGAAGCTGTTTAGGTGTCAGCCTGTTACTGTGGGAGATAGTCTCCGTGGTGCTTTCCAATGAAGGTGAGTGTGAGTGTCGGTTTACAGAAACACCTGTTCTGTTAGGTCAAAGCCTCCCATCTGGGTAACCAGGCAACACTGCTCAGTTTACTTTAAACCCCGATTGAAGAGCGAGGAAACAAAAATGCATCAAGACCTATACATACATAAGACATTCACTCACTCACATAATCAAGAATTAGCACAAATAGATCCCACATAAACACATGTGCCTTACCTTCTCTAGGAATGAGTTCTTGTCCTACACCGCTGTGTGAAACAGATTCATAATAAAGGCAACGCTCTGCAATGACATCAGCTCAACTCCTCTCTCTCTCTCTCTCTGTGTTGTACTCTCTGTCAGCTTTGCATGATGAAGTGTGTACAGTGACGCAAACCTGCCACACTGGTTTATCCTCTCATCCTCTCTCTCTCTGTCTCTCTTTCTCTCTCCTCCCCCTCCCATTGTTGTTTTCTCCCTCTTTTCCTCTTCTCACAGGGTAGCATTCCTGACAGCAGTTCAATGTGTCACCCACTGAAATGTTTAACAGGGGGTTGCACACACACACACACACACACACACACACACACACACACACACACACACACACACACACACACACACACACACACACACACACCCTGACAATTCAAACCTTAAGCACCCTCACACATTAGCATTTCATAGCCCAAGGGAGAGAAGATGCAGTCCAGATTAATGTGTGAAACAGACAAAAATGACATTTTCCAACACAGTCTTATTACATAACCCCACCTCAGGGCCAATCTTAGTTCAGTCATCTGGGCTGAGCAGGTATCAAGATACATAATAACAGAGCACCTATAATTGGGACCAGAGACAACAAAGGGCCCAGAAATACCAGCAGGGATTAATATTGTTAAAAGTACACCTCTCGTGTGACATGTGCTAAACAAAACAACAGGCTACAGGAGAAAAGTGTCTGAGATAAAGAAGAAGCAGGACAAGAAGAAGATTTCGTGAAATGTGGGAAGGCGTATGAACAGTCACATGTACAAAAAGCAAAAGGACAGCGATAAATACAATCAAAATATTCAATTCTAGTACCTACAGTTATGTTTGTTGTGTAGACGCTCTTGTTGTACTGATTATTTTTTGCATGCACCTGCAATTGTCTTCCGTTGAAAGAGAGGAAACTGTGGTCAGCATGCTGCAACGCTACATAAGAAACGTCTTAAAGTGAGTGCCTGTCAAAAGCCGAAATAGACTGAGTGGAGACATTGATCCTATAGGCCAGGTCTTAGAATCCAATAAGTGATAAGCCAGAGGGGTGGTAGGTCGCATGGTCTCCTCAGAACAGAGATTAGTCTGTGAGGAAGGGTAAATAGCTCCAGTTCAAATCCCAAACGCCACCCTTGTCCCTGACAGAAGAATGGCACTTATTGTCTAACAGGATGGATGCAAATCGCTGTTCTGCTCACACAGACAAACTGGTTCAATAGATTCATTCTTTAGGGTGTAGGCATCAGAGGGCCATGTGAGAAATGGGCAATTTATGGTATTTAATCAATGGGTCACAGTGGATATAAATAGTCTGCATGCTTTTAGTGTGAAGCAATCCATCGATAAAATACAATTCACTCAGAACTTTGTTTCTTTTTGGATTGGAACTGTCACATGAGTAGGAAAGTTGGCAGCTCAGCCCATTTTGTAGGAGCCTTGGGGATTTATTTTAACTGTTACTTTTAGTGTTCATTATTATCTGATTAAATGTACTAATGCAATCCTTTTTTTATCCTGTTCTTTCTGTATATTTTCTTATTTGTTATACATTTAATTGCTTGGTTTTATCGTGAAGTATTGGCAACTGTTTCAGTATGCCTGTTTTTATTTATCATCTTGTTTTCTTTACTTTATTGCAGAGCACTTTGAACAACATTCCCTGAATAACACAAGAACAAAAACAAGAACAAAAGCAATTGGGAATTGTGTTATGTGGATATTACAGAAATATCCTTATATCTTGTTCTTCTGTTATTGGAGTTTGGATCATTTGCCTAAGTAGCCTAATCAGATCTTTTACGTGAAAATAGTAATACAAATATATTCTGTACAGTATTTCATTTTTACATTCTTTTTTTAGCCCATCTTATTCTGTTGCCATAACTACACTAGCTACTGTGCATTTGGCAATAGAACCATTGAATCTTTCCAACACGTAAATACACTCTTTTACAAGTAAAGGCAGTAACGTAGGCAAGCACTTAGAAACTTAGAGACCTAAAAATTGCACTCACTTGAAGAACATCGTAGTTTTTCTTCCCTCCAGTGTTGTTGTTTGTTTGCAGGTCGTCAGCAGCAGATGGCAGGAGAGGCCGTGGAAACGTCTGCTCTGACGTCAGTCCTGCCCGCCCGTACCTGTCACCTGACCAACGCGGAAGTCAACAAACCGGTCAGCGAAATGTTAAAAAGCACTTTACTTTACCTACTTCCCTGTTTTATGTGTTGCGTTTAATATAAGCTTCCTGTGCTTTAAAAACGAGCTCTAAAAGGGACACTGAATGGCTTTCAAGTGTCAAGTGTTGGACGCACCCTCCGTCATTTAGCGAGCGGTAACTAAAGTTAGTTTATTGTCGTTTAAACACACCGCTTCAAGATGCGGAGCGACCCTCTCCTCTCCAGCGTTAACGTGGTGCTTGTAATGGCCTACGGTAGTCTGGTGAGTGTGTTTCTCTTTATATCTCTGTCATTTTCTTACCTAGGTCAGGTGTATGTTAACTCTCGCGATGACAAGCCTGTAAGCGTAGTTTTTTAAAACATGTTTTTGGTTCATTTTCACTACAGAGTTTCTGTTTACAAAGCTTATTATTTCAAATTGGCTTCATTTTCACTATGAAACACAAAAGATGTCCCTTAACTGGACAGAGTTCAAAATCCTATGCTGAGTCATTACAAGGCACACACAGTTAATGGAATAACTAAGTACATGTACTAAAGCAGTGGTTCTCAACTGGTGGGTCGCGGACCCGTTTCAAGTGGGTCGCAGATGTGTGAAGACATTTTTATTTTATTTTGAAGGTTATTTTCTAACGCTGTGCAGTGTGCATGCAGTTGGAGTGGAAGTACCGGAGACCATAAACGGTTTTGAAAACTTCTGTCACGTAGTGATCATCTTCTTAATAAAACATATTTGCTGATGTTTTTTCGAGTCTTCTGGCCAATCAGAATCAAGATTGTTGCCGGAAGTCCCCACGGAGAATAACTTTGCGGTAGAACTATTCTTTATACATCCATGGGTAAAACTTCAAATACAAATGAACACATAATGAGATATGACCCTCGGTTTGATGATTGACAGGTCACAGAACAATGGGAGCTATCTACCCTTATCCACAATTTAAAGTAATTCACACAGACTCTCTCCTCTTTGCTCTTCTCTCTGTGTGGAGCAGCAAGTTCAGCTGTCAGAACAAAGTGAAAAACAAACAATGGCATAACATATTATTAATAGTATTTATTTATTTTCTTCTCAGAGTGTGCCAGAATGCGTAGTTTATACCAGACCCCCATGCTGGGGTTGGGTATTCAGCATGTCATGTTTTTCACGTGTGGTGAATTTGCAGGATTGGCTCCAAATCTGCCTTTTTATTTTAAAGGCATTCTTTAGTTCTGTGAAGGGATAGCCTATAAGGGATACTGTACTTCACTTTAATTAATATTGTATGCTGAAAAGCATATATATTACAGCACAATTTTTTGTTGAATAGATTTTAGTGGTTCAACATTTCGGGTCGCGATTTATTGACCAAGGGAAAAGTGGGTCCCGAGGCCTGACCAGTTGAGAACTACTGTGCTAAAGTACTATAACTAAGTACAAAGGTGAGATACTTTTACTTTACGTGAGTATTTCTATTTCCTGCAACTTTGTTCTTTTACTCCATTACATCTAGGGGGCATATATTTTACTTTCTAGTGCACAACTTTTATTTGCATTATGATTTTTCATGATCCACAGGCATTCTGCTCAGTATGCTCAAAAGAGGAGTACAAATAAAACTAACCCCTGACTTTTTTTCTAGGTGTTTGTTTTGCTCTTCATCTTTGTCAAAAGGCAAATTGTGCGATTTGCCATGAAGTCTCGGAGAGGACCACATGTTCCACTCGGCCACAATGCTCCCAAGGTGACCCACACAATTACACTTAAGTCTGTTGATGTGCATTGTTTTCTAGTCAAATATGATAGGTGTTTGTTGTCTGTGCTGTAGGAGCTGAGACAAGAAATTGAAGCCAAACTTTGCCAGGTCCAGAAAATCCACTTTGAGCCTCGTCTGCTGTCCCTAGATGACGACCGGCTAAAGCACAGAGAACAGTCTGGTAAGAGGCATATGCAACAACACACACTCATATACACTAGTCCTGCAACTATCTATATGAGTAGTTTTGAACCAAGTGAACCGAATAATGTGTGTCTGTTGTAGGTTCTCATAACTTCCTGTATAGGATGAAAGCACTGGATGCCATCAGAGACACTGGTAAGCGTTGCTGTCAACAATCTGGTCACACTCTTGTTTTGTTGTAAAGACAAACTGTTACAATTCTACCTGTACTTTCTGTCAACAGATCTACCTTTCCGTGAACTCGGCGGCACACCTACCGCTGTGACGGGTAAAAGACTTCGGACGTGGCTTCTGCAGCTAAGAAAGTCCCAGTGCATGTTCCAAAACAGTCTGAGCTCGCTCATCGACACGGTGCTGGACGGATACAACAAAGCCCGTTATGGGGCAGAGGTCAGTGTCCTTCTGTCCATTTGTGAGAAGAACTTACATCTCTTAAGACACATCATTGCAATATTGTGTGACAGTACCTTGTCTAAATAAAGAGCAAAACAATTGTTTTAAACTGGCAACAAAATCATAAAGGTATGCTTAATATGAAAGGAGAGTATTTTAGTTATGTTTGCTACACAATTGATTTAATAGTCATTGTGCTCCATCGAACTCAATGTCATAGCTGATCAACAGAAAAATAGTTGCTGACTATTTTTGTAATAGATTAATTGTTATACTAATAATGCAATAATGGCAGAAAAAATACAGTTGTTAGCCTGTCTAATGAAGTCATATACTGAATATCTCTGAGTTTGACTTACAAAACAAGACAAAATTTTAAGACATCAAATTGGTCTTTGACAGACTGGGATATATATTTTTCACAATTTTCTGACTTTTTTTGACCAAACATTTAACCAGTTTATACATAGTGGCTGTATTGTGGTCTTCTGACAAAATTGTTACAAATGTATATTATCCTTATTATTAGTGCTTCTGCTATTCACCATATAGTCCGTCCTGTTGTTTTACAGTGAGCTGCGACTGCAGGAAAAGCTGTCAAATGTACGGATGTCTTGTCATTTTACCCATTTTTTTGTCTGTAGGCTTTTGGTGAAGCAGAATTTTTGAAATACCAGGAAGCACTGACTGAACTGGCCTCTGTGTGAGTAAACACGACCTCTCCTCGCAGTTCAGCCTCACTTTTATGCTAATCCCACTGTGGAATGTTAATCTATCATTGGGTCAATCTGATTCTTCCTTCCTGTTTCAGCGTGAAGTCTCGTAGCAACAGCAGCACTCCGAGCCAGAACCACCACTCGGCCGCCAAAGACCTGATCGGCACCTCGGAGCCAATGAGCTCCTCCTCCTCCTCCCCCACCCAAACCACCTACCTCACATCGTCGATGCAGCAGCGCAGCAAGCGGCCCAGACACTTCCTGGAGCTGAAGAACTTCAAAGACAACTACAACACTCTGGACAGTTTGTTCTGAAAAGATGTCACTCGCATCTGAAAGAAAGGTCAAAGACAAGGTAGAGCTTCCTGTGATTTAAGTGCCTACAGATCGGTAGTTTAGGGTGAAATGAAAAAGCACTGCCTTCATATACTAACACATATTGCCTAGTTCAAAGTATAATGCACTTCAAACTGCTCTACCTAGCCTATGCATATATCCTGTATTAATGCATGTACAAGTGTTATATTAGGTACAAAATGACTATAGTGAGTTACTATGGTAAGTAGGGTTGATTTGACCAAAACAACACTGGAGCTCTCGGTTTTATGCAATGGCACATGACAATCAGTATTTATTATACAATTATAAAAGCCTATGCAGAATTGTTATTATTAACCAAGTGTATTTAAATGCTAACAATGTTTGTAGGTAAATCCCAGTGTTAATAGCTGAAAAACACACACTGTTTATGTCACTTATGTTTACATCTATGTATGTCTCTGCGGTTCATTTGCTGTTTTTAGCCTTAAACATGTTTTACAGAAGCCATACTTGATTTAATGAATTGTGATTATTAAGTGCTCTTAAGATTTAATCAGATCTCTCAGTGAAATGTAATTTAACTGTTTCCCAGTGCATTTATGCAATTATAATGTAGCATCAGGGGAGGTCTCTTTTTAAAAAGGTTGACTGGCCCCCAGATGTCTGAAATGTTTGTTAATTCTCGTATCAGGGGAACATTCAGGTGAATTATTATTTTCTGTGATGCTTATTGTATAAGTTGCCATCCGAATAAAACAGTGACATGCAGTCAAAATGTTGTAAAAGCGTTTCAATGTTATTAACAGTGATCAGCTCAATAAGGTCATGTCACGTTAGTGTCCAGCAGAGGGCGCACCTTTCATAGTAATCTGCATTGAATTCCTACGGATGCCTGAGTTCAGTGAGGAGACAAAAGAAGCTTTATATTATTTTCAGTAATTTATTCTGAAAGCCACAAACACAGATAATAGATTGGAATTTACTTCATAGAAAACCCTCCTATAACACAATCTGTCTTGAGGTTTTATATAAATAAATACAAAGGAGAAAGCTGTTAGGAAGTTAAAATATCAAATCACATTCATTATTATTAATATGTACAAACAAGGTGACAGTTTACAAAATGATAAGGAGCTGACATGCTTTACAAGAAATATGTAGAACGACACTTCAATGAAGCAGTAAAGTTACATATCTTCATCACCACTGACACGCCATCCTTCTGCTTCCTCACAGCTTCAGGAAGTGCTAAATAGTTGTTAAAGACTTAAAAACACTTATATTGTTTAAAAACATCAGAGGGTGTTGACCTTATATAAATTATAAACGGTATTTACACGTTTAGAGCATTATACCATTCACTCAGTGAAGTGAATGGAGTCATGGAGGATGAGTGACCATTCAGTAAAACACTGGATGTAGATCCTCGGGTTAATGATTGCTACAGAAAACATTTAGCTTAGTTAGCTATGTTGCTACATCACTATATGTGAATTTCATAATATCATAACGCACTTTGGCAAAAGGTCTGCCAACCCGCACAGTTCTGTTTAATACAACAACACGAGATTGTCATATCTCAAAGGTTAATAAAGCGATCACAACAGGGCAGCACACGGAAACACTTGCACAAGGTACGCAGTATCACATGTAAAACTTCAAATGCACATTAGCTGAATCAGCTTAAAGTATCTATAACAAGCTCAAATTCACACATTATGCATAGACAAAGCAAGTTGTGGTGCGTGTGTCGCCAATTCCTTCAAGGAGTGTTTGTGGTTTGGTGGAAGTTTTGATGTAGTTACAGTCCAGGGAAGCTCAACTCCAACATCCCGACTATCAGCGAAATCAGATGTGGGCGCTCGTAGAGTCGTGCTTGTTTTCAGTCTGCAGTGAAACGGTGTTGTGGTCCAATACCGAGTCTTTCTTCTGCGCGGTTACTTCATGACCTGATCTCGATGACTTTGATGAAAGGCAAAGGTTTGTTGGAGGAGTTGGAAGGCTTGATCGGTTTACTGAGGGGAGAGGAAAAAGAGAAATTAGTCGATTGTATTTTGGAACAGCATAAAAACAAGTTATTGTGTGAAGGTGTACAACTAGAACAGGGGAATATTTTAGTGTGTGTGTGTGTACTGTATTTTGGGACCCGTTTCATCAAATCTGCATAATTAAATAAACAATGAATGCAATAATTGCCACTCATGCATCAGCAAAAAGGCCCAGTAGAAATATGAAGAGGAAGGGTACAATAAGTTACCTGTAGACGATCTGGGGATTGCGCTCGGATGAAAGGTGGGAGTTGGATCTTTGTCCTCCCATGAAGTAATCCATCTGGTCATGCATCTCTCGGTTCTGCAGAAAGGCGGAGGTCAGAGGTCAGTTCACATAACAGCAATAAGACGAAAAATGTATGTGGCCACTAAACATAAAAACCTCTTTATCTGAACATATTTGATCTCCTTTCTCCTGTCATGCCTTGCACTTAATCCTGAATCTGAATTCCACTTCAAAGCCATGCAAATATCTTTCTTCATAGACAACCGTCGCTCACCTCAGCCTCCAAGAAAGCCACTTTCTCTTCCAGCTCTTTGATCACGCGGTCTCTCTCCTGGATCACCATGCGAGAGTTCTGGAGCTGAAGAACCAAAAAACAAACAGTCAAACAGTCAGTAAATCCTGCACAAATATGAACATGGAGACAGTGTGTTTGCTTCACTAAATCTCACACATGTGCACCTCACCTGTTCAATCATGTGTCTGACTTTCCTTTGCTGGCTCTTCAGCATGTCGTCCAGATGGTGGATCTTTTCTTTGAGAATTGCCAACTCCCTCTCCAGCTGCTCAGTCCTAAAAATACACACAGAGTTAAAGCTGTGACTTGATTGGCACTCATTCGTGACTTGATTGGCACTAATGAATAAATGCTGTTTTCTGTTCATGTGTTTGAGTTAACTGACCTCTGCCCCCCTTTCTGGCCCTCCTCTCTGATTGTGCGCAGCTCATGGAGTTCCACCTCGCGGCTGTTCATCTCCTCCCTCAGGGTGGCGCTCTCCTGCTCCATCCCTCCCAGCAGCCTTTGCAGGTCGTCTATGCGCATGTCTTTCCTCTCGCTGGCTTCTTCTGTGGTCTTCAGCTTCTCCTCTTCCTCGCTCAGACGCTCCTTCAGCCTGCTACTCTCAGCCTGGAGGAGACAGGGAAGAAAAGAGGGGATGCTTATTAATTTAGTGTTAAATGCAGTTTCAGTGCACCCAGAATACAGTATACATTATATTTGGTGATGCGTAATGAATGTGAAAATAAGCTCTGTAGATGTGTGTTACCTGCAGCCTCTCTTTATCCTCTTGGTGTTTCTTTTCTGCTTCCTGTAGCTGAGCATACAAGCGCTTACTGACCTCCCTCAGCTTGGCTCTCTCTGCTTCTTCATCTGCTTCCTGAAAGAGAAAGGATCAAATGTTAGATTAGCAGATATTACGTCCTCATATTAAGGAGTTAATCAGAATATAAACACATGTCTCTATGCAACCTGGCTGAGCTTGCACCAGAGATTAATCTGCTAAATACTGACTTAAATATTTGGCAAACAAATCTTTTTTTGTTTAAATATTGAAATTATTTGGATTACTTTTGCCACATTGAGATAGGGCTGCTCAATTAATCGTATTTTAATCACAATTACGATTATGGCTTGCAACGATTAGGAAAACAACGTAATCGAAATAAAACGATTATTTTTGTATTATTATTATTACTTTTTTTTCAAATTAAATATTTTTTGTATTGGTTTTTCAGTTGAATTATACTTAAAGTTCAGGGTAATCAACTGTTAAAAACATACTGTTCACATTTTTTTCTCCAATAAATGGATGTTTTCAAAGTAAATGGATAATCGTTTTTAATAATCGTGTTATCAATTATTGACCCAAATAATCGAGATTAAGATTTTTGCCATAATCGAGCAGCCCTACATTGAGACCAGGTTTCCACCTATTTTCTGTTAATCAGTGTCAAAAAAGCCACACCTACTAGGATCTTGTTGTAAACACTTTATATTCAACTGTTTTGTACACAGACCATTGACCTTAAAACAACAATATTACTCTGGACTGATAGACAGATGCTTTCCCGATGATATCATTGAACATCCTCTTTTCGGTGGCTGTCAGCAGGCGTGTCAGTGTGCGTCATTGGATCAGTTGGATCAGGACGTGCCTTTCCCTCCTAATTTGTGCAACGCTTCTATGAGCGCACCACGGCGTGAGTCACATATAGATACTATAATTGGCACAACACCTATTCAACCAAACAAAGCGACATCAGCTTTTGTTTGTAATTGTACGAGACACAACCGACACGCAAATAGTGGTGGATGCTAAAAGTGTGTGGCTCAAACACAGCAACAAAACCATTAAAGGAGAGGTATCTGTGGAATGCTGGGAACAATAGAGAGGGCCTGAGCACAACAACACAGAGAGGAGAGGAACAGAGTGTGCTGGGAAAGGCTTCCTCTGACACCCCGGGGTGCTATAAGCATAGTTTCACTTATGCTGTCATTTGAACACTTCTCCCCCCTCCCATATCTCGGTGTGTCTCTGTTTAACTTTATACCTCCTTTTTACGTCTTCTGTGTGCCTCTGGGAGGGGATTGCTTTACAGGCATCGCACGAACAAGAACACATTGTCCCGAGGAAAACAGAGGAGCTGTTGCTATGATATAACGCGAGATTTGATATGTGCATTTCTCACACACATTGAGTGTTTACCACTTTGAATGCTCACCTGTGCCTCCGCTTTAGCCTCGTCTTTAGGGGCAGACGGGGCGCTCCTTCTGAAGGGAAGACCAACTTTCCACCCATTTGTGAGCGGCTGTAAAGAGAAAAAGGGGAAGTCAGCGACTACAGAGTGAAAGAGGATGGAGGAAATGCCATTAAGCTCACAGGAAGCAGGGTTAACAATGTGGAGGGCAGAATAAAGCAAAAATAAATCTACCTTGTTTTTGGCTGCCATCTGCTCCCTCAGCGTCTTCAGGCAATACCTCACCTGCGATGAATACAGACACATTGTGAGTTAGTGACATGCGTTTATTAGTTAACAGGTATGTGTTGAATGTCTGCGAATGCGCTATAAAGTGTTAAACAGCAGACTTTATTAGCAACAGATAGAGACTAAGTCTGGAAGCGCGGAGGAATTTACATGATGCAAATCGTTATATAAACACCAGGCAGAGACTGTAGTGATAGTGTGTGTTTCAAATGTGCATCAGAGCTACAGCAGACACTGTCCAGACACTGACCTCCTGTATCTGTGAAACTTCATCCGACAGCATCTTGAGGCTCTGCTGGTGTTTCTGCTGCTCCTGTTTGCGGGCTTCTAGATACACCTGGGACAGGGAGAGAGAGGCACGGATGATTAACACTGAAACGCCACGACAAATCTATATTAACATATCAGATATTTCTTTAAAAAACAACACAACACATACCTTGATAACCTCCACCTGCTCCTCTTTGCATTTGACCGGTTCAGGGTTCAGAGATGTCCTGTCAGCGGCCGGCTGCACCAGCGCATACGCTCGTCCGATTGGCTGCAGATTAGAGAGAAGAGGAGTTAACAATGTGGCACGCACAGAGTTGCATGAGGATGGGTGTGATACATTTCCACACATCATCAGCAAACAGATGTTAAGTCACGGTGCTTTGCTGACGCTAGAGCGTGGTTTGGATCAATATTGCGACACAACGTTTAAAAAGGAAAGCCAAGAGTACTTCTGTTGAAATGCCATTCTGATAAACACCATCTGTGTCTTTAGGGGTGAAGGGAGTATTCCTGTGTGACTGAGTCTCTGTTATCCAAAGGCTGAAACATTTTGGAGACAAACCCAAAAACATCTGCTTTCGTTGGAGGTATTATTCAGTTTTCATCACAACCATAAACAGAGACAGCAGGTCGGGAGACTAAACTGCTAATCTGGAGGTCTTTATATCTAACTTTTGTATTGGTTTTGGGAGAACAATTGCTGTCTTGGCTCTTTTCTTGACATTTTGTGTGGCAGCTGTGGCATTTTACAAGCAGTTTGTTTCTCTGTCAGATTGTGTGTGGGCATGTGCCGTGATGATGATGATGATGTGTGAATGTACGCTACGGTAGCTCTGAGATAAATCCTCAGTATTTTTGAGAGGGATTAATTAAGATGAATTGTCTGAATCATCAAATCCAAATATGGCATTAATGACGATCACTTCGCCTTAAAAGAAAAGAGTGCTACGGTTTTTCCTTACGTCGTAGAACAAAGTAGACAAAATGAATGCATTAAGGTTGAAAAAGTCAATTCAAAAGTACAGTAACAGCATGATAAATAACACCTTGAGTATCTAAACCACGCATCTAAAACAGTGATGAATGTTTTTCTATTGCAACATTCCTATATCTCCTACAGTCCTTATTCCCAGGTCTGTTCTCTGCATCGGTGTTACAGCCCAGGTTGCAGACTAAGTTATCAGGTGCAGGAAGTTCTTACCTTGTCCCTGTACTGCTCCGTTCTCTGGGCTGCCTGCCTCTGGTCGTGCAGTGTGAGTCGCAGTCTCCTGCACCCCTCCTGAAAAAAGCAACCAAGAGAGGACACGATGAAGTGAAACCACAAAGAGACCGTTATGTTTCGGAGAGACTGTTGAGGACTATTTTGAGGAGAGGAGGAAAAAGAGGAGGAGAGACTGAGTCATACTCAAAGTCAGAAACAGAGGAGGGAGAGAGTAGCCAGTAAGAGAGGGAGGGGGTACAACGAGCGTCAGAGAGAAACCAAAAGTTTGTTACAGCTGCACAGAGACAGATTGTTTGAATTAAATTGTGTGCTATGGACGTCAGAGGGACTTTATGCGGAAACTCTCCAGGCGCTCACAGCCGGTTGGAAGCAGAGGCTTGATTTCTGGGAAAGTGGGCAGAAAATGTAATGTCAAGCCAGACAGGACATTTCCATGGTAACAAAATCCTCACAGAAGCGATAAACTGCCTGGCACGCCAACAATTTCACTGGGAGGAGCAAGTCAGAGACAAAACAATGCACAGATGGCTTCGAAAACAAAAACAAAAAAATAGTTTTGACTTTGAGTTGAAGGAGAGAAGTGGCTTTAAACAGGAAAGGGATGTGAATGGGTGTGTGTACTGCAGGGAACCCCCTTGTAGAGTGTGTGTGCATGTGTAAGTGTGAGTATGTTAGGGAGGAGGTCAGAGACATTACGTAACTCATTCCAGCAAACGACATCTTGATGTGTTTATCTTCCCTTATACATTTACTATGTCCTCCGGGTTATTAAACTCAACTCTGAGACTGAAAAGGCAAAGAAGAAATGGCTGCCATGTGGGTGTGTTCTTTTCTGACCTTCAATAGATTAAACAATCAAATTAATAGTGGAAAAAATATGTTAATTGCGGCTTCGCGGTTGCAGTTTACAGTAAGAGTTTAAGCCACTAGTGTATGTTTTTGTCTGCTGTAGAAATCACGTCTGATATGCAGGATACCCCGACCTGGATGTTAGCCAAACAGGGACAATAAACTGTGCAGCGTTGTGTAAAGCAGAGATAAAGGGCAGTAAGTAAGGGGGGGGGGGGGGTGGGGGTGTCCAACTACGAAAATCGAAACTCAGGGAATTGAAAGCAAAAAATGTCCCTCTTGTTCAACATGCTTTCCTCTCAAATTACAAACACCTGAAAGCTTTAACACAGGAAAAGGGGGGGGGGGGGATAAAAAGAAAGGAGGGGGGATAAAGGGAACAGTGCGAGGGTTGTTGAGAAGGAATCCATCATTATACAATCTCTCTTGATCTCCATAGACAACCAGACAAAGAGTCCGCTAATCCTCTCTTAGCCAGCGACTATTGACATATACTCTCTCTGCCCATTTGCTCTTTTATAAATCATACTACAATGCCATCTATACTACTTTACAACCTGTAATACTAGACTTCCTGGGATCACAGACAAAGGCACCAGTTGGATGCGTTCGTGGAGGGTGACGTATGTGTGTACATGTACGCACGCGGAAAAACACACACAGATAAAAGTACACAGTACCTTAACAACAGGGCAGAAACCTGAAACTAAGCACACACACTGCACACTGCTGGGTTTTCGGACAATGAGCACAAAAGACCACAGGGTGCTGCGGGGCAGAAAGGATTCAAGGGTATGAGGAGGACGCTTTTTGTTTTTGAGGCCTGTGGATCAGGTCAGTTGCTGATAAAAAGACAGAGCTGCTGGATTTGGTTAAAAAAACGAAATGTTCTTTAGAGCTCGCTGACAGTTTCAAACAGAACGTGATGTTCAGATTTCTGAACTCATGCAGTAACAGGGATCTTGGAAATAAACACATGTTGCCTTCAGGTGTTGTACCTTCATACCACAACTAAATTCCACAGTTGTGTGTTCTTCGTACATTAAATCACTCTTTCCTTTCATGAGCTACTTTCCCACACTGTGCCCCTTTTGTCTTCTGTCCATTCCTTAATAAACCTCGGCCTCTGAGGCGACAGCTGTGAGACTAAGGCAGGTATCAAGTGACCATACAATACCTGAGTTCTATTACCTTACTCATACAAGGAACTCATACACGTATTTTCCCGCAGCTTTCACCATTAGCATCATTTGACTACTCAGTAACTTATGACTAACATCAGGAAATATTTGATCAAATAAATCAATTGATCAAACAAGACAAAAAAATAGAAGCATTCAAAGCCAAGTATTCAAACCCCATCAGATACTCTATAGTGCAGACATATTTTGACCTGCTCAACAAAGCTTCAACCTTTAATCGATTGAAAGAATATTGGCAAATAGTTTGACAATCTATAACTAATTTTTAACTAACTACATTTTTCAAGAAACAAATTTGCATGTTCAAGCTGCTTTAATGTCAGGATTTTCTGCTTTTTTCTGTTTTAAATAATAGTTGATGAAGTACCTCTGGGATTTGTAATTTTGGTAGGACAAAAAAACTTTCCACATTTCCTTTGGACTCTATTAAATAGTAAATAATTAGTATATTAATAAATTTCAATAAACGTCATCTGCAGCCACAGTTTTAAATATATCCTGTTTTAGGATAAAATCCTTGAGCTGTAGTTCCCACAGTAGTGAAGGGTGACTGACTGTCACGCTGCGCCCTATGGTCAGTCAGCAGTCAGTTCAAACTAAAGTGTTAAAGGCCAAAGAGGAAAGACTCAAGTTGAGGTGTGAAGTAAAGCGTTTGGAGGTTTGTGTGTGTGTGTGTATTTCCAACATGTGAGAACCTGAACAGGTGAACGCTTCGATTTGAGTCATGAAGTGAGAGCTTTCATCAGAACAGATATATAATTACTAGTCATCCTTCCATCAATAATCATCTTCTCCTGCTCTCTGCGTGTGAACCAGGTGGGATTTTGCATTTTACGATCATTCCTATACATTGATGCATCTCCTATGTCATGTCTGGCTCATTCCCAGCAAGTAACGTCACACACTCCTGACTGAGATGGTGTCTGTGATGAGGAAAGCCAGCAGGAATGTGTGAGGTCACACAACACAAGGAACTAAACGTCTGGGGGGAAAGTTGTGGCATTATTCAAAAAGTGCCCAATATAACAGTTTTTTTGGGAGGAGGAATTATGCCAGAACATTTAAATGATTTTCAAATAAAAGCTGAATATTTTTCTGCTATTAACGTAACATTTAGTTTCAAAGCCAGGCCTGGGTGTTCCTTGTGTTTTATACATCATCTCCGTTCCAGGAAGCACACAAACCACCCACTGAAGGCCTTTCTCTGCTACATCAGGCACATCCTTATCAGAAAGACTTCCTGATAAATAACAAAGGGGTATTTTTGTTAATAAGTAATTATAAAAAATGTAACGCGTAGAGGTGAAGTATCTTTGCTGCTTTGTTTAGTCTGACGTTAATAACCCTACCAGATATGGAAAAAACGGAATGTGGGTGACTATTTGACTATTGGATTTGACTGAAAGCTGCCTTTTTCCTCATAGAGCTCATGCAAATATGCTTTCAGTCGCATGTTGAAATGTACCGTATGATAGATAACACAGAAGCTGAACAAGTGTGGAGTTTCATATACTGCTTTATGAGACATTCCTCTCCACCAATAATCAGTTTATCAGGTGTGTGAGTGGAGCTGCCCTTTGTGCACTCTGACCCCTTCACACAGTTACAAAACACTAACTGTTATTTCAGTCTAGGCCATTGGCACACAATGTCAATATCAATGCACGGCGCTCTCATCATACTATTTAACTTAACATAACCATTATGAGGACTCTTTACTGTAATGCCTATTATATAATATTCTGTGATGGGTTGAAGGGGTCTTTTGCTGACAGGTTTTGTACTCGGCCGGAGGCTGCTGATAAGGGGAAAGTGTCATGTTACTCAGCAACCTCATAAACCACAGGGCAGGTTAACAGTTTGCTTTTTCAGTCGAGGTAAATGATTAAACCTCTGCAGCCACAGAGTGCTAATAAAACCCTCTTCGATATTTGAAACAGGCAACTAGTGATCACTCATTCACAGTGCAAGTATCAGAAGTCTTAGCCAAAGTCAAGGATGTTTAATCCTCTTTAAGGAAACTCCTCATGCACAGGTGGCACACATACTGTACAAGCTAAGTGTTTACAGGGCTTCACACTGTCACAAATGCAACTGTAAGCCCCTGAATGAGTAGGGCAGAAGGCACCTGTGACTGACAAATGTAAATTGGACTAATTCTGAGCTGATGCCTTTATATGTTGGTAGGGAGAACATGTGCTTGTGGTTGGGGGGGGCAAATACTTTAATCACAACAAGAGACTAAACAGTTAATACACCACTTATAGGAGGTGAAGCCTGAATATCTGTAAGTAAACCAGCCTCTGATACAGTCTACATAACTGAGCAGGGTCATGTAAAGGAAAAATAAAGCAAGAATAGAAACCTAAAAGTGTTTTAAGGGAGAAAAGATCCAACAGATCCAAAAGTGGGAAAAAAGGACTTAAGCTTTTGACATTGGTTTACTTTTGCAAATGTCTTATTGTACCACAATGCACCCATAGAGGAGGTCAACACACAGAAGTACACAAAGGTCTACTTTATCATTGTATTTAACATAAAATACATAAAAACAAGCATAGCTATAAGGAATAACTCACCGCCTGCTCTTGATTTCTGATGTCTTCAAATGTACACATACTTCTCGACACTCCGTTCATCTTGGATAGAAATAAATATAACTCAAATAATAAATTAATAAATAAAGTCAAACTAAATAAAGCTCCTTCAATTAGAACAGCTCCCCGGTGTGTGTCTCCAATGGTTTACAGTGGCTGCAGTTATCAGTATTCAGCCCGGTGTATTGGTGCGTTCATGCTCCGTTCCCTCCCTGCACATTGTTAAAACTTTTCTCACCACGTCACTATGGGGGAGGGGTAGGGGGGGAAACAGTAACAACCCGCCCACTAACACACCGAGACAGCCAAATAGGGAATAGGGAATAGGGAAGCATGGAACTTGTAAGGAGCAGATGGATATACCTGCTGGAACAACTTCCGGAGAAACGTCAATGCTTTTTACCTCATGGTGCTTGCATTTGTATCAAGTTGAATGGGTGCAATGTTTTCAAGCAGTGACAAACTAAAGATGGTCGGCTCCTGCCAAATGCCGTGCATAACACTGCTCAGTTTACCAAAACATTATTAATTCAGGAGGTTTAACCCCTGGATGAACTCGATCTATTATCTTACAAAGCAATGGAAAACTAGGCTTGGATTCAGAGATTTAAAGCAATTTAAAGCTGTTTTATAGAGACAATATATCTGTAATTCACTTTTTCTTCTTTTGACACATTTAACATATTTAAGTGAATGCATTTTCCCACCATTTCCTGAAATACTAACATGTGTTATTTATTGATTAATAATGGGTAATCATTTGCAGATTTACATTTTTTCGAAGAACAACACAATGAACATTATGCCACCTTTAAAAAAAAAATCCTTAATAATAATAAGTAGCCTTGTAATGTGGTTAGTGTAGCACAGGCTGTTCCTAAAATATATTTAACCAAGTTGTTCACCATGACCTATGATGTGGGTGTGTTGTTTTTGTGAACCTTTATCTTTTTATTTTTAGTATTTTACAGCATCAATGTTACACATGATAAACTAAATGTTTCCAAGAGAAGTGTGTTGTGCTTTGTCAGCTAAAAAAAAAAAATAGGCTGACCAAGCACGAGTAACACAGTGAGTGTCCCTGATGGCGTTCAGCTGATTCCAGCAGCAGCTGATCCAGGCCGGCACAGACCTTAAATTGGATAAAGACTTTAATGGCATTAATGGTTGTTAGCTACTGCAGGTTGTAGCAAACAAAAGCTCACGGTGGCATATAAGGGATGACACTAATTTGAGCCAGGAGCAGACACGGCACACACAGAAAGAATGTGCAGATGAAGACAAATGGCCATCACATTGACTGGACACCATAAAAAAACATTAAAGTTTGCCTAAAGTGCAGGGGGTACTTAATAAGTGAATGTTTCAAGATAACTATTACCCCAAATAGGTTACTAACAAAGAATGTGGACTTCTACAACAGACCAGTTGTTCTTTTTTAACGGCCGATATCGTTTGGAATGGGGCTACCCACATTCAACAAACACACCTAAACCTTACTACAGTATGTCATCATGTGTCTCAGAAACTAATCCACAACATGAGTCACAACAATGTGTTTACATCACACAGTCGACCACACTCAGACAGACTGATCCATAGATCAGACACCTATGAAGGTCTCTGTATTTACATACATCCCTGTCTGAGTCTAAACGCTGTGAGTCAGACTCCTGTTCACTCTCTGTCTGTGTTCCACATGTGACTTTGATGGACTTCTTAACCTTTGCCATAGGAGTACAGTTCGAGTTATAATATATAGTTAATAAATTAGTCACACTTAATCTGAATAAGCCATCTATCGGACTTGGTTGAAGTTTACACATATAGATATCCCAGTATGCACTGGCTGTTTTAAAACCAAATGAATAAAGAATAAGCCCTTTCACAGCGGCCATTCTTCACACGTCATAGCACGGTAAACACAGGTGTAGTTAATATCATTAATTATGGTCCGGTTCTATTTACGGTGTCAAAGCTATTCTAGTGAGCACAATACAACCCCACCTCAATGAAACTGGGCCATAATGAATATTATTAAATACCTTTGTTCACCCATCCAGAGGAATGTCAAAATGAAAAGGGCATATTGTGTTAATGTTGATTTGAATAGGAAACAAGTTTGGGTGTTTTTAGTCAGCATTGGTTTGTAGAATACCACAAGAAGATACCTAATGAGCAGTTGTGATCCATTTGAACAAAATGTGAGTGTGTTGTTCTTTTCATATGACCAATTCATTTTTTTAAGTTATGTATTCACCATTTTAATTATGTCATGTTAACATTACATGCCAATAGATTTAATTCTCAAGTTTCAGAAACAGTTCTTGTGCATAGAAACAAATAGAACATATTTGATTTCACTTTAATGGAGAAATACATGTAGTTATGTCATCCTCCTTCACTCTTACTATGAATGGAAATGGCAACTGTTTTGTAGAAGGTCATTTATTTTTAAATAAATCTTTGCTGTTGCTAGTAACCAAAGAAACAAAATTGCTGCATTAAGTATTATTCAAATGAAATTAAAATATAATACCCATTTAGTTTCTATTGCTTTTTGTACAAGTGAGACCACAACAAAAGTCAAATCAAGTTGGATAATCTGAAACAACAGTGCAGAGAGTGAATAATAAGGCAGAAAATATCCTATTTTGGATTTAGGAGAACAAATGGTCAATGGTTAAAAGTGCACTATTGTGACACAGAGCTGCTCCTTGAAAACAACAATGACACTATAGCTGTATTACTAAATACCAAAGGCCTGACTCTTTTTTGCTTTTGAAAACAAGATATATTTATAGAACGGACCACTCCTTATGTTTTCATTTGTTGAACCTTTTACCGATAGAGCAAAAACAATTAAAACACATTGGTCTTGTTTGTGTGTGTGAACGAGCTCAAGGCAATCCAAGCCCAAAAGACTTGTTTTTCCACAGATGGAGGCAGATGGAACTAAATGTACGATGGGGTTGCGTTATTTCAGAGCAAGCATATGTAATAGCAAACACATCACGATTTCAAAACAAAACACACCCAGCTCTTGGCAAATAAAGTCTCAGGATTGAATAATCCTGGAAAGCTGGAATGATACCCACCCATGGAAAGTATGTTCCCTCATTATTGACAGTCTAACAAAACAGGTATACACAGAACACAAACAAGTTGGCACTGTACAGGTTTGGTCACTCTGGATGGGAGTGTAGTATCAGGGACGCTGAATCTGGTTCTACAGCAAATATTGAAGGCTCGACTCCATGCCAACTTAACAGTTCAACTTCCAAGTACATTATTTTAAGTTGAATTGCCGACAACTAAGGGAGGGGAAAAAAAAGCTTTTGAAGATCAATCACACAATAGCACCACGGGTGGTACAGTCTCAAAATCAGCCAGCTTTGTTTACTTCTGAGGCGCAGGCGTCCCTGTTCTGTCTCTAAATAGTAAAACACAATCTGGTTCTGTGTGCCAAAGTGCCAAATATGTAAACTCATAAATAACCAGAGGTGCTTGTGAAGTTACCCTCCAGGGTGCTGACTTTCATCTATTTTCCAAATGTAGGAAAAACAAATACCTAAAACACTTCAAATGTTTTTGTCGCAACATATAAAGGTGCAGATTTATTCCTGTTTTTTCAGACATTTATAGATTATTTGGATCAACAGTTGCAGTGCTGTCCGAAGATAATATTTTATAAATATCTTGTAGTTCTGTAGAAGTTTCCTTCCACCTGTTTCCCCACAGATCTCAGTGGACACCGCACATTCCTAACATGCTTCACCCTGCAGTGATCCTGGCATCAACACAGCATCCATACCTCAGAACCAAGTTCAAGAGACAGGCCCTCTCACAGCATGATCCTCATTACACAACTCAAGCTTCAACAAACAGACATTATTATTCGTCTGAAATCTATCAAGGATGTGGTACGTGGGCTGTTTGGTATTTACCCACCCCCTCCATTTATGATAGTATGTAGAAAAGGAGACCTATTTTATCCATTTCGGTGTGCTTTAACATAATTATAGTGTTAATCTGGGAATATATCCACAAATGGGGCAGCAGGCCTCTTTCACAGAAAAATATTGATTGCCTTGCCCAATCACAGTTAAAATTAAATTCAACTACCCGTTGCAAGAAAAAGTATGTGAACCCTTTGGAACTACCTGGATTTCTGCATAAATTGGTCATAAAATGTGTTCTGATCTTCATCTAAGTCACAACAATAGACAAACACAGTCTGCTTAAGCTAAAACCACACAAACAATTATATGTTTTTTATGTTTTTATTGAACACACCATGTAAACATTCACAGTGCAGGGTGGAAAAAGTATGTGAACCCTTGGATTTAATAACTGGTTGACCCTCCTTTGGCAGCAATAACCTCAACCAAACGTTTCCTATACTGTAGTTGCATATCAGACCTGCACAACGGTCAGGAGGAATTTTGGACCATTCCTCTTTACAAAACTGTTTCAGCTCAGCAATATTCTTGGGATGTCTGGTGTGAATCGCTTTCTTGAGGTCATGCCACAGCATCTCAATTGGGTTGAGGTCAGGACTCTGACTGGGCCACTCCAGAAGGCGTATTTTCTTCTGTTGAAGCCATTCTGTTGTTGATTTACTTCTGTGCTTTGGGTCGTTGTCCTGTTGCATCACCCATCTTCTGTTGAGCTTCAATTGGTGGACAGATGGCCTTAAGTTCTCCAGCAAAATGTCTTGATAAACTTGAGAATTCATTTTTCCGTCGATGATGGCAATCTGTCCAGGCCCTGAGGCAGCAAAGCAGCCCCAAACCATGATGCTCCCTCCACCATACTTCACAGTTGGGATGAGGTTTTGATGTTGGTGTGCTGTGCCTTTTTTTCTCCACACATAGCGTTGTGTGTTCCTTCCAAACAACTCAACTTTGGTTTCATCTGTCCACAGAATATTTTGCCAGTAGTGCTGTGGAACATCCAGGTGCTCTTTTGCAAACTTCAAACGTGCAGATCAGAACAAGTTTTATGACCAACTTATGCAGAAATCCAGGTAATTCCAAAGGGTTCACATACTTTTTCTTGCAACTGTATGTATTACACATGGACCAAGTGTAATACATAGTTGAATTTAATTTGAACTGTGCAGCAGCCCTCTACTTGCTACAAACTTAAATATGAAAAGGTTCAACTACGCACACACAC